TGAAATTTCATAATGAACTATTCCAATCTTTTAATTGGAAGAGTTAAAATATGTCTTCAGGGGTGAATGAGTTAAGAAACATTTGTCTGCTATTCATCAACTTTGAACCAACTGTTTTTTCAGAATATGAAAAGGTCAGTATTATAGCTGTGATTGTTTGACTGTCAATTCCTCTATAATTAATCACCTATTTCAAAACCTAGTGAGAACACTGAGAATAATTATAAAAATACTAATTATATTGATATTTATCATTCTGTGTTGACTCTGCCCTCTTGTTAAAGGTACACAAATTAATTAGTTTCCTTGTTTTGCTGCTCCACTTACTTGGTTTCCTTTTTCGCGCCTCTTCCCAGAAGCCTCTCCTTAATACGCCGCTTTTCTTCTTCAATACATCTACGGCGATCACAAGCACCAAAATTGACTAAGTTGAGTGTGTCCCACACCAAAGCACCTTTGATTTCCCTGTCCAGCTCTGAGTCCGTGTTAAAACTAGGAGAATGATTCACCTGAAAATCAATTCAATAAAAATTTGATATTATGGGTTATAATTTCAGTTAGAAGTCCTTTGGTACTTTCAGTACATCCATCAGTTTCTGTATCTGTATCATAAATAAGATACATTTCTAGTGGCTTATAGTCTCAGTATTCAAACTTCATTGTTTGGAGCCTAACTCATTCATCCCTGAAAACACATTTGAACTCTTCCAATAGAAAGGTTGGAATAGTTCATTATGAAATTCAGGGGTAAACAAGTTAACATCCTTAAAAAAGCCAGGGTCATAAAAGGACGAGTTCAAGCTTCGTACACTATTAACTAATAATATATAATAAAAAATTGTATGGAAAAAGGATGCATAGGACACCAAATGATATGTCTAAGGTCAAAGGTCAAGGTCAAATATATAGAACTGGAAATGAGGTCTTCGGTCATAGGTCAAAGGTAAAAAATATAAAAATAAAAAATTCTGAAGTGGTTATTAGAACTGGCTTTATCAATGGTTGACATGTTCAAATCCATGGATTTAAAACTAGAACATAATTCTGTGTTATAACTTATGAAGAAAAACAACAACAAGGGAGGTTACTCTAACATATTTCACATACATAATTAGTAAGGCAGGATATGTTCTTAAAGATACATGCCAACTTATCATGTCAGTGTGTTGAGTCAGAGTTATCATCCCTAAGAAAGCATGTCATAAGGTAGCATATCTCTTTAAACTAAGTATACACAACTGATGTTTTACCTCAAGTATTGAGGGTCGTAACTTCCTATCTAGCAGAACATCAAATCCGAGGATCTCAAAACAGGCGCTGCCTTTCACGTGGTTCGGGAAACATGTGCGGTAGTTGTGTTTGAGAACAGAATGAGCTGATATAAGAGTCTTTATGATGACATCATCAATGTCATTCCACATTTTATCAATGTCAAATCCCTTTTCACGCATGTATCTGTCCACAGTGCTGATTTTCCTGTTTGATAAAATAAATAAATAAATAAATAAATGAAACAGGGACACTTTTATAAAACAAACATATACCACTGCTTCTGCTTTGAAAGGAGATATAGCTTAATGCAAACTCCAACCAATGAAATGGAGCTAAAAAATATCTTACCAAAGTCTATGAAGTGTAAACTATAGGTCACAGTGACCTACATTTGATGAACTGGTGAAGGACACTGAAGATGTACCCAAAAATTAATATTGATGACTTTCTCAGAGTCAACCCAACTTTGAAACAAGTTGCAGGTATATGATAAAAGGAAAATAAGGAAAATTTAGGAAAAGAATAAAAACAGTTGAATTTATCTCTTGCTTAAATGCGTTCAACTAAACATCGGTAAGATATTTGAATCTGAGATTGCCTCTCTTCAAAAATTAATGCGAAAATATCTGTCTCACAAAAATCAAGTGATA